AGCTGGCAGGGAAGGAGGGGGTGCTGTGAGCCGGTCAGCTGTGGGCGGCAGGGAACGCTGTGCCCCCCACCCCCAGGGCTTCTCAGACGAGCGACACGGCGACGTGGTGGTGGTGCGGCCCATGCGCGAGCACACGCTGAAGGAGGTCGCCTTCTACAACCGCCTGTTTGCCGTCCCCTCCGTCTTCACACCGGCCGTCGACACCAAGGTCAGCGGTGCCCGTGCCACGTGTTGTGCTCTCCGGGAAGGGGGGCTCTCGAGGGAGGAGGGTGCCCAGCTGGGGGTCATGCACATCGGGGACGGACAGTGGGGCAGCATGACAGTTGTCAGCCATGCTTTGTCTAACGACAGGGACGCTTTAGAGCAGGGGCCCTGGCTGGCTGCACCGCAGACTCTCGGGCTGTTGTTGTAGAGAAGCCCGTGCTCCCTGCTCTCAGTGGGCCCTGACCGGCCCCCTTGTCTCATTGCTCCTAGGCCCCCGAAAAGGCCAGCATCCACCGGCTGATGGAGGCCTTCATTCTCAGGCTGCAGGCCCAGTTCCCCTCAACGGTCAGCACCGTGTACAGGTGGGTGTGTGTGGGTACTGGGAGGGGGGCCTGGGAGAGAGTGGAGCCCCCCCCCAGCTGACGGTGCCCTGTCCCCCACCCCCAGGACGAGCGAGAAGTTGGTCAAGGCGCCCAGGGATGGCTGTGCTGCTGGCCCCCCCAGCCCCCGCTGCCTGCTCTGTATGTGCGTACTGGACGTCGACACTGCTGGTGTGTCCTTGCACAGGGTGCCGGGGGAGAGGCACCGGCGAGCGGGTGTTGGGGTTCCGCGGCCCCCGAGGTCCCCTCAGCTCCTCTCTGCTTGCAGACAGTGCCACGGCTTTTGGGGCCCAGACCTCCTCGCAGCTCCCCCAGACGCAGCCCTCCGTCGCAGAGGCTGAGGCGCCCACCGTGTCCTGCTGCTGCACCGGGATGGGCAGGGCCCAGCAATGCTGCAGGATGTGAGTCCCTGCCTTGTCCTGTCAGCCCCACCCGCCATGGTCAGCACCTCTAGGCTGCATGGGGGAGGGGTGCCCTCGGGCCCTTGCTGAGGGCAGGGCCCGCTCTCAGAGCCTTCTGCTGGTGCAGGGAGGAGGACGACCCCCGCGCCCGTGTGATTGAGCAGCTGTGCTATGGCTGCCGTGTGAATATGAAGGACTTGGTGAGTGGAAGCCTCTCCCCCAGGTGAGGGGGCAGGTGGGCACTGGCCTGCGCGTGTGCCGCGCAGCCCCGGCACCAACGTCAGCTCTCTGTTGCAGCCCTCCCTGGACCTCCTGCCACCCTACATCCTGGCCGAGGCCCAGCTCCGCAGCCAGAGGTACTGCCCGCTCTGCTGGGGTGGGTGGGGGTGGCTAGGAGGGGTCCTTCTGGGTCTCAGTTCCCAGCGTGTGGCTTCCCCAGGGCCGAGGCTGAGCAAGAGATCCAGGAGTGTCTGCTGGAGGCCCACGAGGACGGGGCACGGCCTGGCGCGAGCTGAGCCCGAGGACCTGCACCAGGCGGGGCTGGGCCTCACCCTCAGGACAGGCGGGTGGCCTGTGATCACCCGTTTGTATAAATAAAAAGGCTTTAATTAGAAAACTCTACAGTACGGGTGGGGGGCCCCGGGCCGCCGGGCCCCGCAGGGAGGACGGGAAGAGACAGCAGTCCTGCGCCGGGCCGTGCCCCGCCCCTGCTGCGAGCGGCCCTAGTCTTTGTCGCGTGTCCACGCGATCAGCGTCTCGGGCGAGCGGTACAGGAAGATGAGCTTGGCGTACAGCTCCTCCTCCAGCTCCAGCTCCCGAGTCTCCCGCACCAGGAAGATGTCCTGGCAGAGCTTGAGGATGCGGTCCACGCACGGCAGCTCCTCGAACATGATGGAGTGCGAGATCTCGCTGAAGAAGCCGCGCACAAACTTGCCGATGACCAGCACGATGGACACATAGAGCCCCATGATGCTGCAGGTGGGCGGGGAGTGAGCGTCGGGGCTGCGGCCCGGCCCGCACCCCAAGCCCACACCCTGGCCCCGCCGCACTCACCCGTAGCCGGCCAGGAAGCCCAGGCTGGGCGGGCTGACCTTGTCACTGAAGATGACCATGGGCAGCAGGTTGCAGTCAGCCTGGCAGTCCTGCAACTCGATGACCCACCACTCGAGGAAGCCAGCTGCCCCTGAGCCCACGTGCTCCCTGCGCAGCTGGATGCGCACGCCAAGGTAGTCGGCCTCCTCGTCTGGGTCGGGACCAGGAGCCGTCAGGCCACCGCCCTGCCCAGGGCCGAGGCCACGGCCAGCATCCCCGGCGCCCCCCGCCCCGGCACCCCCGCCCCGCTCACTGGGCTGCAGCTGCTTCACGGGGTTGGCTTCAGGCCCGTTGGGGGCGCGGATGTACTTGGGGAACAGGTGGGGGATGACCCTGCGGGAGGAGGCCGGCAGGTCAGGCCCAGCCCAGCCCTCCAGCGGCCCCCCGGCCCCCACGCCCCACTCACACGGACTGCTCTGAGGTGCCCTCTAGCAGGCTGGCCAGCTGCCTCCGGGCGGTGCTGTTGGGGGCCAGGCCCAGGGTGTGCTTCTCGTTGGTGTACTCCACCGTGCCGCCCTTGGCCAGGTCCCTACGACAGCACGAGGTGTGACCCCCACGGGCGTGCTCCCCCCCCGCCCCCAGCCCGGCCCCTCCTGGCCCGGGACGCACCTCTGGAAGTTCCAGGTGAAGCGCAGGGTGATGTCGGCGGTGCCGTTATACAGCTCCCGTTTCATCTGCGCCCGGCTTGGCGGGCTGATGCGCCAAAGCGCCCCGGAGCTCCCCTCGATCTGCGCCGTGACGATGTCCTCGGGGCTGTACTGGCTGATGAACTGCATGGCCAGCTGGGCGGAGGGCGGCACCTCAGCAGGGCGCAGCCAGGGCCCCTCCCATCCCGGCGTTTGCGTTTGGGGGCACTCACCGGGTGGGGGTCAAACTGCTTGGACAGCTCCTCGTAGGCCTGGTGCGTGAAGGGCACGATGGACGGCTGCTGGGCGCTCATGGTGAACAGGGGCTGGCGGTGGGGACACGGTGACGCGGCGCTGCGGGAGCTCCCCCGCCCCAGGCCACCAGCGGCCACAGGAGGGCGAGCTCGCCTCCCGGGCAGGGGCCGCTCACCTCGTAGCCACCCAGCTTGAGGGTGACGGTGACGTCAGTGGGCTGGTTGACGACGCCGACCACGGACCGCACAAGGGACATGAAGAGCAGCGGGAACCAGATGATGGCCACGAGGAGCAGGATGATGAGGCCGCCCATGCCGTACTTGACGATCTTTTTCTTCTTCTGCCCCTTGGGCTGCGGGTATTTCTGGGGGTGGGGGGCGCGGGGCAACACAGGTCAGCCGGCGCGGCTCTGCGCTGTGCCGGGCGGCCTGCCTCCCTGCTTTGTGGCAGTGGGGACCGGGGAGTAGAGCCCAGAGCCAGAAACAGACCCTTCCTCTGCGACCCTGCAGAGGGGTGGCTGGACGCCCACATGCCGAAGAGTCACGCTGGGCCCTTAAACCCTCGGCAAAAGTGAACTCGAACCTAAGACCTAAAATGGTAAAAGCCTTCGGGGCAGATCTCTCTGAGAAGGATCTAGCGTTTGGGATACACGACTCTCACAACGATAGAAACCACCCAAGTAAAAGCCGGCAAAAAAAATGTGAGCGGACGTCTCTCCAAAGGTGATACACGAGTGACCAACAGGCACAGGAAAAGATGCTCGACGTTATTAGTCACCAGGAAATGCAAGCAGAACCGTGGTGAGACACCGGTTCACCCGTACCAGGACCGGCGAGATCAGACAGTAACACGTGGGCAGGTAGGATGGCGCCGCCCACGCGGCAGTTCCACTCCTAGGTGTGCACCCAGGAGAAAAGGGGGCCTGTGGCCACAATTCTGGACGTGAACGGCCATGGGGACGTTTTTTAGCACACCCAAAAGGTGTCCTAGGCCACGTCAAGGTGAGGGAAGCCAGTCACGGAAGGCCACGTGTCCCGTGATTCCATGTAAATGGCACCACAGGAACAGGCACATCCGTGTCGAAGACGAACAGGGGCCAGGGGCTGGGGACTGACTGCTAGTGGGAACGGGGCTTCTCTCTGGATGATGGGAACTATCTTAAATTGACTGTGCTGATGGTCACGTAAGTCTGAATAGACTAGAAACCACCAAACGAGGTGTGTGAATTTTATCAATAAAACTGCTAAAAAAAAAAAAAAAAAAAAAAAAGAGCTTCAAAGCGCAATTAACATTTTAGTGCCCACACCATGACCCGTGCTAGTGAACCAGGGCCCAGGAAGCCAGGCCTCTCCTGCCCAGTGTCTGCTCAGGCCCCTCTGTGGTTGGCCACCCCAACACGGCCACATTCACTGTCCCCTCAAAGAAGCCCCTTCTGGCCTCCAGGAAGTTTTTAGGACGATGCTCTCTGGACTCATGTTTCATGGGCTGTGAAGCCCAGGAGGGACCCCGGTGGGGAGTGACCAGCGTCCCCTGCTACCCCCGCCCCGGGGCCCGAGCACCTTTTCTGTCTCTCGGCTACACTTGATGATGAAGATGTTGGCGTAGATGTCCTCCACGCACATCCAGTTGGACAGGGACAGCGTGGTGTCCGTCCACACCCAGTCCATCACAGCCCGCAGCTCCACCAGGAATGGCACCAGCCGGAACCTGCCGGGACCGGGGCAGCGTCAGGAGGGCCGGGGGGGGCAGCCCTGCCGCAGGCGCGCAGGCCGCCACACTCACCCCTGGAAGAGGAAGAGGTTCAGGTGGTTGTATTTCTTGGTGAGAAAGTTGCCGAGGACGCGGGTGGGGTAGCCGCAGCGGATCTGGTAGGCGGACAGGGCAAAGTAGACGCACTTGACAAAATACCACAGCTGGGCCACCGCGTTCTGGCTGAACATCCTGGATGGGGCAAGAGCCGGGGCAGGGTGCCTGCCTTGAGGCTGGAGCTCCAAGGTCGCCGAGCCAGCCCTGCTTCTGCCCGGCACCAGAAGGAACGTGTGTCCAGGCGGGGCCCGAGCCCCGGCACCTACCGCTCGGTGACGGCAGGCAGGATGAAGAACATCCAGAGGTGCACGGCCAGCACCAGGACCACCTGGAAGGCCAGCTTGCCCAGCACGGTCTTGCGCAGGTAGAGCGCGCGGTCGACGACCATGGTGCCGAACTGGATCAGCAGCATGACCAGGAAGGCCTCGGGCACCTGGTCGTCTGACAGGGAGGACGTGATGTCTGTGGCCGCCGAGTGCTTCTGTGGCCGGAGGAGCAGAGGTCAGGGGCGCGGTCGCAGATGGGGGGCTCTGCTCGTGGGGGCCCCGAGACCCAACTCACCCCGAAAGCCCAGAATCCGAAAATGATGACGACGAAGTCGACAACGTCGGCCAGGAACATGAGAGCGTAGACGTCGGTGGCCGCGCGGTACTTGGTGTGCAGGATGTCGTGGAAAAAGCGCCGCACGGGCCAGTACGCGCTCCGAGCCCTGCCGGCGAGCGGCCTCAGTCCAGGGCCCCCTCTGCCCCCCCGCCCTGGCCTGGGCGCTCCCGGCCGGGTTACTCACAGGGACAGGCAGGAGCTCTGCAGCCGGAGCCCCAGGACCCTCACTCTTCTGCAGGGGCGGCTCCGCCTCTCCTCGCTCTCTGCAGCCGCTGCCTCCGCTCCCACCTCCTTGTCGTCCTCGCCTTCTGTGGGGGAGCAGCCGCTGCTGACGGAGCCCGCGGCACGGAGCTGGGCCAAGCTCAGACTCCTGACCATCCCGAGACCCCCCAGGGGCTGCTATTGCCCTGTCTCAGAGACCAGACTGAGTGCAGGGACCCCCTCCCCCCGACCGAGGGTCACCAGCAGTGGCCGTCACGGACACGGCTGTGGCAGTGGCTCGCCGGGTGGGCCGCGACGGGGGTGCGTGGCCGGGCCCTCGTACCAGCGGCTGCCCGTCCTCTGCGTCCCGTGCTCTCCTTCCTCCTCTTCCTGAGACGCAGGCTGACGCGCCTCTCGTCACGGGGCTCTGAGGGCCCGTGCTTTGCTTCCACCGGGATGTCGTCCTCAGTGGGGGCCCCGGCCGCCCCTGGCTCCCCTTGGGGTTCCAGCAGGGCCGGCTCCTCCTCGGCCGCCTTGTCCTTCCCACCAGCCCTGTCACGCTCCTTCGGGACGGGGTCCTCGTCGTGGTCCCAGAGGCCGTAGCACTGTGGAGGGACGTGCGGGGCTGGTGAGGAGGCCGGTGTGGCCTCACCGGGCAGCACACGGAGAGGGCGAGGTGGCCAGGCCCACGCTGGGCCTCGTGGCGTTCGGCCTGCCTCAGAGCGAGGTGGCTGGGCGTGCGCGCGGCCGTGTGTGCCGTGTGCCCACGTGTGCGTGCGCGAGGCGGCGGCCCCTGCGCGGCCGTGTGCCCACGTGTGCGTGCGCGAGGCGGCGGCCCCTGCGCGGCCGTGTGCCCACGTGTGCGTGCGCGAGGCGGCGGCCCCTGCGCGGCCGTGTGCCCACGTGTGCGTGCGCGAGGCGGCGGCCCCTGC